CTCCCCGAGTCCCTCCCTTTGCCGAGCTCCGACCCCGGGCAGGTGAGGGCGGAAGGCGGGGGCCGGGGAGCGGGCTGTAGCGGTGGTCGTTCCTCGCGCGTCTGGGCCCGGTGGCCCGACGGAGAGCACCTCTTCTTTTTATCTCCATCATTTCCCAGTAGCCGAGTTCCCGCAGAGGCGTCCCTAGGGCCCACAGGAGTACAGGCTGGGGCGGAGTCGGTCTCGGAATGGGAGACCTGGAGCCGAGGGTGGGGGTGGAGGGGCAAGAGAAGAAACGCAGTTGGGGGGCGGAGGCCTAAGTACATAACGCGTTGACTTCGAGTGAAATCAGATCAGTCAGAGCAGTTCGCTGTGACTGTCGCTCTCCTCCCACCTCGCCTTTCTTTTGCCTGGACTCTGCCCTCCTGGCTTATTCTGGTCGCCCTGGACACTCCCTCCGTCCTTTCTCAGGAGCGCACAGCTTTGGCCATTGACTGCCAGCGGGCACCGACACCAGGCGCCTCTTTTCCTCTCCTCTACAGGTCCTCCTGGCCCGGCCTGAACATGCTGGACGGCCTGAAGATGGAGGAGAACTTCCAAAGCGCGATTGAGACCTCTGCCTCCTTCTCCTCGCTGCTCGGTGAGTAGAGGGGCCATGCGCCACCGCGCACCCGCTTGTCTCCAGGCCCAGATCTCTAGATCCCAACTTCTCCCTGATCGGCGATGGGGGTACTAGAGCCCCTCTTCTCGCACACAGTGAAGCCCATTCCCTGTCTGTCCGCGCGCCTGCGTCTGTCTGTCAGTGCTTTTGAGCTGTCCCAACGCAATAAAACCAACAAGTCTCCGCGGGCCTCACGCACAGGGCATCGAATTCCCTAAAGCCATGAGAGGCGGGAGAGCTTGTTCGCAGGCGTTTGAGTGGCAAGTGATTAAAATTACCCAGGGCTGGGTTTTTTAATCATGGAGCTGATCGACGGCTGATAAATGCCACTGATTTTTTTGAGGCCCGGGGGCGAGCATAGGACGCCGAGGCCAGGAGCACACCCAAGTTGAAGGAAGACTTCTCGCCCCTCCAACAGCTCCAGCCTCAATTCAGTCTTGGGCATGGCCGAGAGGCTTTTCCGGGCCGGTGGACAGCGAGGCCCCGGGATTAGCAGGCGCGGCGGGGCCCTTGCCTGCCCCAGCTTTAATTAACTGTAGTTGGATCCCAGGTCCGGTGGGCTCCTCTACCCACTCCCAGCCCCTTCGCAGCCACCACGGAGCCGCACAGAGTCCAAGGAGGCAGGAGAGTGACCAACATGCGTCCTGCAGAGCCTGGGCCAGAGATTCTTGCTACAGATCTCCCTCTGCCATCCTTGTCGCTTTTCAAATCTGGAGGAATGACGTTTTATTTGTTTGTTTATCTTTTTTAAAAAATCTAGAAGCGTTTTTCCTTTTGCCCTTTAAAACCTCTTTTCCTTATTCGGAACCACTAAAGCGAGATGCAGGAGGAAAAAGACGACATTTCAGCTGGAGAAACCATATCCAGAAAAGAATTCCACCTCCCACCCCCAACACTGCAATTAAACCTAAATCACCCACCGTGCGCCCTCCTCTTTCAGCCTCCCTTTTGGGGAAGTGGGCATTTTGGCTAACGCCTGAGGAGGGCACCGGCCCACGGGGCTCGCGGACTTCAGAACCCAGTGCGCCTGGTTGCGCTCCGTGCCCTCCACCCGGCCCACTTCCGCTGCCAGTGCTGGGGTCGCGACCTAGAGCTACTGAGACCGGGCAGAAAGAAAATAGAAATTTTAAAATGACAATCATCTCGTCTATTCGCCCAGAATTTCTTTCCCGCTCCCCAAAGCCAGGTGGCCCAATCCCCAAAGGGAACAACGGGATAAGCCTAGCAGGAAAATGCAGGAGGATCGCCTTTGGGGCACTGTGAGCTGGAGGTCGTTGTGGCTGGCAGGAGAGAGCTTCTTCAGATGCTTGTAAAAAGTGCCAACAAGGGAGGCCAGGCGTCGTCCCAGGGGGAAAAAATAAAAGCATTTCTTTTCCTCGAAAAATAAATAAGTAAAATAAAAAATAAATAAAAAGCGCGGAGGGAGGGGGTAGTCGGGAGAGGATTCCTGAAAGCTGGGTGCTGAAGGCTCAGACCTGTGCCATCCCGGCCGTCACCCTCCTTAGCTTCCCCGAGCGTTTTCCCCGTTGTCTATTTTGACACTTAATTATGAAAAACCCATGTACAGTTTGCATGTCAGTCAAGACTCAGCGGTTTGGGGTTCATTGGTTTGAACAATACTGGGTTTGCCTGGGGCGAGATTTTTTTTTTCCTGTACCCACGGGACTTTTTAGGAAGAAATGAAAATTTTGCTTCCGTAAAAGAAAAAAAAATACCATAACATTTTAACAAATGAAAAAGACAAGTTAGTTTTACTTACCTAGCTTTAAAAATAGTTAATAGATCAAAAACAGTGAGGGATTTAATAATTACGACGTAGTAAGTCTGGTCGCACAAATTTATTTGTGATCTAATTTTACCGGTGGCGCACACTCTTGCGCGCGTGTAAGTGGGTGTGCTTGAAAATTAAAGGCCACTCATTGATTTACACCTAGCCCCGCTAGAATTTAAACCTTCCCACATATTCCCCGTTTATTAGCAAGGCCACTGTTTCCTCCTCTCTGCTTGGCTGGTGATCCGGGACTTTCTGGGGTTGGAGGGCAAAAGTGTGGAGGGGCGCAGAGTTGGTGCGGCAGGCTTGGCGCGGTTGACCCGGCCGGGAGGCTCACCCGCGCACGTCTGTTGCGGCTGCAGGCAGAGCGGTGAGTCCAAAGTCTGTCTGCGAGGGCTGTCAGCGGGTCATCTCGGACAGGTTTCTGCTGCGGCTCAACGACAGCTTCTGGCACGAGCAGTGCGTGCAGTGCGCCTCCTGCAAAGAGCCCCTGGAGACCACCTGCTTCTACCGGGACAAGAAATTGTACTGCAAGTACGACTATGAGAAGTAAGTGCCGCGCCATCGGGCGACCTCTTCCTTCTTCTCTGTGCTCTTCCGCAAGGTGTAAGAGGCACCCAGTCCTCCGCCCCAGACGCGTAGGTCTCCCCTTCACCAGCGTCCTCTACGCTCCCTGGGGCCGCAGAGATCGCGCCAGAGAGCGCAGCCACAGACGGAGCTCCGGAAGCGCGAGCGTTTGCTGAGTTCTGTGCTCGCCTAGATTCCCTCCCTCTTCCCAGAGGCCACTGTCTGCGGACCCCTTTAAGCCACATCCCACCTCTTCTTGTCACTGGGTTGCTCCTTGTGCCGCCAGTGACCAGAAACTTCTTGCGGGTTCCAGTCCATCTTTCCCAGGTGTCTGTACCGCGGAGGGGCCGGTGAGGGGTGAAGTAGCCCCCACAATGTCTACGCTTTCTGCACCCTGTGCGCGTTTCCCCGCTTACATTAGTTCCTCCTATGCCTCTCCAGAGTCCTGGGGAGAAGGAGGCGTTAGGTCAGAAGTGGGGGCCTGATCGGAAGCCCCCTCCTCCACGATATGTCCCACCCAATTTGAGGGCGCTTTCTGCCACGCAGCGAGTCCAGTGTCCTCCCGTTCACAGGAGTGTTTTGAGGAGAATTGCGAGGCAGGTATTTAAGAAAGTGGGTTATAAGAAAGCTAGAGGTGTGTAATGCCTGAGGGAAAGGGAGTTAGAGGAATTTCCTTATACTCCCTGGGATGGCGTGGGGGAGCTCAGCAGAGGACAAAGAGGGATCGACTTGTCCTCGCAAAAACTTATCATATATAGGAACATCGGCTTCGCAGGCCTGTGGAGGATTTGGAGGAAAGAAAAGTGGCTGAAATGGAGGTCTCCGGGTTTGTACACTAGGACTGTAATCTGTTAACTGGATGGGCGTGTGCTTGCACGCGCAGGAGAACTCAGCATTTGTCACTAGTGAGTGAAAGGGGCAGCACTTTATGAGAATAATCACAGGGGGGTCACTGTGCACGGGAAACAGTTCCTGTGATCCTGAGATCACACAGTGAAAAGGGGTGTGCTGGACTTCACAGCAAACGGTGTGGGGGAGATTAGAAATCTCTTCGTTCCCTTCTGTGGGTTGGGAGGCTTACTGAAAACCGACAGAGTGCTTAGACCCAGTGCTTAGCACCAGAAAATGCTGTCACTCAGTGCTCCTTTGCTATAAAATTCGAGCCTTTTATCCTCGTGGACAGAATAGTGGGCACTGTTTGTTGTTGTTTTGAAACAAATTTGGATGAGTTGAACAGTGCAGAAATATATGTGGAAGCGAAAGCTCCTCATGGCCACAAAGCGATCCTTGTGGTCAGTGTTTTTGAGAGAAGGGATGCCTGTCTCTGTTCTTGGTTGTTTAAGGCCACAGTGTCTGAGTGAAAAGTGTGATTTTTGGGGTAATTAAGCAGATGTTGCCCACACAACTTCAAGTATCCCCTTCGGATAAAGGTCGATTGCTCGCTTTTTTCTCTTTTGCTTTTCATCTAAAGACGTCAGTGTTGTATGGGACCACTCTTTATCTTTCTGCTTATAGATTACTGAAATGCCCACACCCTTCAAGCCTAACACTAGCCAATTCAAAAGTATTGGAGCTTAGGAAAGGATTTGGGTTGTGAATTTCTATTCTGTTTGTTAAAAAAAAAAATCACGAATCAGAGAAGGCTTAAGGGTCAACACAGCTGTCTGGCCCATCAAATCTTCTTTAAGGAAGTCAGGCTGTGTCAAGAGGAGAAGAAACAGTTGTTGTAAAGTACTTAACACAACAATGTCCCTCCCCTGTAGCCCTCTAGGTTTGGAGCGGTCTGGGCTTATTAGCCCAGGAAGGTCGGTTCTCCCCTCACAAGGCTATTTCTGCAAAGAGAAAATTGCAGGGATCAACTTGCCAGCTGTTGGCCTGAACCAAGAAGATTTTATAGAGGGGTGTGAGCTCCATCGTTCAGAGAGGTGTTGGTGTTACAATGAAGGGTTTTAATTTTAATTTTAACATGTTTACTGAAACGTGGATGTCCAAAATCGATGTGGTCACACTCTTTAGCTCACAACTCACTATCATTACTAGTCTGTGCTCAGCCTGTCAATTGATTTTTAAATTCAATTATTCTTGTCTTAAATTTCCCCTTTCCCCCCTACACAACCCCATATCCCAGTCCCATTCTTCTTCCAACAAAACAGGATTTTAATATACTTGATAGTCTTAGTAGTCTGTGTAGTTATTGGCTGTAGGAGAGAATGAAGAAGTGTTTAAAAAAAAATTAGGCTCAGGACAAATTCCTTTATTCAGAAGCTTTTACCAAGTGAGGCACTGAGCTAGGTGAGGCTGTAGAGGAAGGACAGTCAGAAAAAAATGTCAGAGCTTGCCTTCAGGAGGCCTGTAAGCCCAGCACTTTTTCCATGTATGTCTTGCTAACCATCAGTATTTCCTGAAAGCCTCCTCTTCTTAAAGTGCAGGAAGGAATAGGTATTGACCAGAATCCATTGGAAATGACCAGATATTTATCTTCTAGAGGGACGTGACTCAATTTTAGACATACTCATGAAACAATCACAGCATTTTTCCCCGCTTTAATGCATTAATCAAGTAACTTTCCCTTTTTAGGTGGATCTCATAACGTGCTGAGGCCCAGACAGAGTGCATGGGAAGGAAGGTGAAATGGAAGTGATGAGACAATAATGATTATGGGATGCTTAATAAAAGAGGAATATTTGGGCAGCACCCTTGTCTCTATAAAGTTCATGAAGTCCAACTGCTATTTTTACACATTTAAGTGAAAGAATGTATAACTAATGTGTCGTCTTCGGTGCCAGTCTTAAGCATGGTATTAACAAAGTGGGTTTACCATATTCAACATTAGTCATTTGTGTACACGTTTCTGGTCGTGGAGCAATTTTGCATTTGAATTATTAGCCATATTGCCATGGTGTCGGGCAGCCACTTAGAAAGTGCAAATGCCATGCTATCAACTAGCTGTTACATGGTCAGGATACCACACACCCAAGTTTTTCTAATTAAAAAAAAAAAAGAAAGAAATTGAATGGCTTGGACACACACAGCTGCTCATTTGAAATCTTAGTATGTTTTACTATGTGTTTGTCTCACACATTAACGACACCCCTAGGAGCATCTTATGTTCTGATCACCCAAAACAAATAATCCTTGAAGGCCAAAGTGTGGCATTCTGATTTATGGATGTCCAGAAATTCAGAACTGGGGTGCAACTTCTGGTGCTTGTGATGTAATTGAGGAAAAAGAACTAAGTGGAAAGATAACATTTAAAAAATGGATGGAACTCTGATCTGGGATGCAACACATCCGGTTGCTGTAGGGGTGGCTGTTTAAAAACTGGGTGTAATTGACTCACTGTTGCTGAAAGCTAGCAGACAACCCAAGTGTGTTCAAGCTTAGCAGACGTCTATTTACGTAACTGTTGTTTGCTATTTAATGGGATCCTCTCTGATCTGGTTAGTTTGGAGTTTTCCCTGAATTTGTTCCAAGCAAATGCTGTAGTTGGACCTCGGTCTGAGACAGAGGAAACTGCTGAATAAATGGGAATGTTGTAATGCAATAGATAATTAAGGCTTCTGGAAGGGATCCCACATTTAAATCAAGTTTATATCGTTCCTTTCATGTGCACAGCAGCTCAGTGGGCTGGGCAGGGATCACCCCCCTCACATATGAAGTTTATCACTCTCCCTGGGTTGTTCTGGACATCCTAGGAGCAGTGTGGGACAGTGTGGGACAGTACGGCTGTCATCCGGGTTGTTCTCACAACATCACAACTCCCCACATGTCAGCAGATCCCAGGCCTTGGGAAATCTTTCCTCACAGAGCCACTTGGTTTTCTTCCCTTCCTTTTGGAGGAGACCTGATTCCCAAAGAAAGGGTCTGAAATAGGGGAAAGTGGAAGTTACCCTTAGAGCTTTCTCTGTGTTTTTCTTTGAACCTGCTGATTGGCAGCTCTGAGCAAAAGCGATTTAGGTAATGCACTCTATTAGGATCAGTAATGAACCAATTCTGCATTTTATCAAGGTAGTGTAGGAGGGGTGTGTGTGTGAAAGGGGTCAGTTTGGTTTTATTGCTGTTACATTACTTGGAGATCAAAATTGGGCATGCAGTCACTCATAAAAGGAGCCCACAGATGAAATTACAGAGGCGATTGTTAGGATTTTGCTTTACTTTATCTTTTGTTGGCCGCACTCCTGGCACAATAAAATTTAAGGAATACTAAAATCCAAATGGGGCTAGGTAATAAATTGATGTCTGCATTAAATTGCAGGGGGCTTAGCTGAGAATGAGCACAGTCCACAGGCCATGGCTGTGTTTGGGCGGGCGGACTTAGCTCTTTTTTCTGTTTTAATTTTAGAGGGTGATTGGAAACATTCCTTGCGCAGAGGTGTTTTCTCTTTTTGTATATGTTGCTCCCTGGGTTAGACTTTCTTGGAATCTAAATCTTAAAAAAAAAAAAAAGAAATAAAATTAGATAGTAGAAGTAGATATTAATAGTATTCTGGGAATTAGGATGTGAGATATGAACAATGCTTTTTAGAGGAGGCTTATGGGTTCTTTTGATGCTTACATAAGCTAACACTTAAAAAAGTTATCCGGTTTTGTATGCTGTAGAATCTTGGGACTTTTGTCATCTACCTGGCTAGAAAATAGCTTGTGATATTTTATTTCAGTGCTAAGGACTGTTTGGACAGTTCATTATCTGTCCTTTTAGTTTCATTTTTACTTACATGTTTTATGTTCATCAAAAGGCTAATTTTAGAGAGGCCCTTTTACTGTGGCTTTTTAAATTCTGAGGTTCTGGGGGAAAGGAGCAAGCACTGCTTCTTTGCTGAGAAGAACTTCATTTATTAAATCATCAGCTAAGTATTTTTATAGCCAAATAAATCATTTTATTTGGCCTATAGTATTTAGAAGTGAGAAACTAGACAAGACTGTACCATAGTCCTTATTTTACCAGCAATTTATGAAAGCTTCTTGGAGTAAATGCATATTAC